AAAGTAAATTTTGCATAAGTAGGTACACCTTAAAGCATATAAAAGTGCTCCTTTATTATATGTAGAAACTTTTTCATGGGAGCTTTTTATAGTGGTGGTCTTTGTTTTGTATTATCACTTTTAAATGGAATTTATTGATCATTTCTTGCAGACAACAGCGAATGCCGTGGTCACCAGACTTGTGTCAACCAGCACTGCGTGAACCCTTGTGATGGTGCTTGCGGTGTCAATGCTAACTGCGATGTCAGTTTCTACAATATTAGTTTAAAGACTTTTAAGGCTTTTTATTCAATTTGTGGATTATTGTTCTGATTTGTAATTTGTCATAGGTTCGTAACCACATCCCAGTCTGCACGTGCCCAGCTGGTTACACAGGCAATCCTTTCAGTTCCTGCAGGATAGCTGATCCAGGTACCTATATATTTAAATTTTTGTATTTGATTAGGTTCTGTTGAGGTAGGCTCGCGTATGTCCATAATGTCACCTGATGTAAAGGTAGGCAAGAGAGATACCCTTAAGGCAATAAAAATATCGAATTTGAGTTTGATATACTTTTACGGGCTACAACGAAGTCAAGTCCGAATGACTTCGGAAAAGATGAAAACTTTTTTGACAGCACTTTTCGCGATAACGTCATTGTCGGGGTCGAACTTTAGAAACTTTTTGGTTGCAAAATGAAAACTTTAGTGCTCGAGGTGATCGAAGATCGGTAAGGATAAATTTCGGACAGACATAATCGAAAAGGTTAGATTGAGAGATATGTAAACGAAAAACTGTAATTGTTCTATCTTTACTCGAGAATTGGTTTCGTAGTCCATCTTTACCGACTTACTTAATGAAGTTTTTTTATTTCTACAGAGGAAGCGTGCCACCCATCTCCTTGCGGTGCCAACACCAAATGTCACGTCGCCAATAACCAAGCTATTTGCACCTGTTTGCCTGGATACAGAGTAATAATCACTTACTTTATCATTTCTTTCATAAGCTAAAAACGAGCTACGTTTGCATCGATGTAATCCCGTGTTGGATCGTAGCAGTCGCGCTTTTGCATCGATGCAATCGCGCGTTTGTAGTGAGTTTGCATCGCTGCTTAAAATCGCGCGTGTTTGTAAATATAGACGATTAGCGATTGCGTCGCTATAAGATGATTCAACATCATAAGTTTATAAAATCCAGTATGCTGTTCATTGCGTCTTCACCTTAGATAACACTAAACATCTACTAGTTATCAACTTCTATTGAACTTCAAATTGCAGTAAATTACATTTCTATTCAGGGAAGTCCTCTAACCGGTTGCCGTCACGAATGTGAATCGGATGGGGAATGTGGTACGCAGCAGTCATGCCGAGACTTTAAGTGTGTGAGTCCTTGTAGCGACTGTGGTGTCAACGCCGATTGCGAGACTGTTGCTGCTCACCGCGCTGTCTGCAAGTGCCCCCGGGTAAGTGATCACAAACTACTAAGATATAGGTATTACGTTGAGTGACTATAGCAAAATAAGACAAGTAGTGTAACTCCAAACAAACGTCGCAACGCAGTTTGCATGTCTACGAATGCACACGTTCGCAAATCTCGTGGCGCACTCGAGTTGCACAGCGCCCCAGTCGCACGCGCTGTTCATTATAGAATTCAGAAGTTCGCTCGATATTTAAAAAATGACATCATACTAGTAGTCATGTTTACTATGGTTGTTTGAACAAGAGAGCCTCGAATTCATAATTATTCAGCTTCTATTTAATAAATGGACATAGTGAAACAAAAAGGATCCAATGCACATCCAGTCACTTTCTTCATTCTTGTTTTATTTTCAAAAGTTATAATGCCATGTAACTCCAGAGATATTTATTTATGTTCATATGATGGATTTTTTTGCTGATCTAAGATGTTAGACTTTAGGAACTGTTTGGTACATATAACTTCATTTTTTGATAATTTTGTGGATTGGATCCTTTTTGCTTAACCACGTCCAAATTATACTCTCATAATCAGGGGGTCTACTCTCGATCTCCGTCCGACATCCGTCCGAAATTAATTAGATACAGCAACGCTACAGGACCTCATTTTTTAATAAGCTGATAAGGTAGATAAGAACCGTGATACGATGGGAAGTTGTAACGAATAATTTTTTTCTGCTGATACCACAACAACGTCAAAAAATGGCACATTTCAGGGCTCAAAGTTCTTGTTAGTGTACTGGTATTATAAAATGATATATTGTTCTTCCAGGGCTACCACGGCGATCCTTATAGAATTTGCACACCCGAATGTTCTTCCGATGGCGAGTGCCCAAGCTACAAACCTGCTTGTATCTACAACGCCTGCGTCGACCCTTGTATCAATGCCTGTGGTGTCAACGCTGAATGTCGTCTCCGTGGTCTAACACCCGTCTGTTCTTGCCCAAGAAACATGACTGGGGATCCTTTCCAATTCTGCAGACCATTCGAAGCTCGTGAGTTTTATTTTTTGTTTTGAGCGCTTTCAAAATACTGCTTTAACCTTTAATCTCGATTATTTTTGGACAAATAAGTATTTTTTGGATCACATGTATTGTATTCTTGAAAGGTGACCTGTGTGAGCCGAATCCTTGCGGCGTCAACGCTAAATGCACTCCAGGCCATGACCGTACTGGTGCTGAGAGACCAGTCTGCACTTGTCCTTCTGGATACATCGGCAACGCTCTTGTTTCTTGTGAAAGGGTGGGTGTAATTCAAAAGATTTTTTTTTTGTGTCAAATCGAACTATCTATGCGCCTTTACGAAAATGACAACTATAATTATATGGATTTTGTTCTTCCAAAATGACGAGAATAATACGATCAACCTTGCTGCACATCCGTCTTCCATCAAAATATTTAATCAAAATGCTCTAATACATTAGTCTAATTAATTTTACAGGGGGAATGTCAGTTGGACTCTGAGTGCGCAGACCACCTTGCTTGCGTCGGGTACCAATGCGTGGACCCATGTCTTGGTAACAGCCAGTGCGGTTCTGGAGCTGTATGTATGGCTAGAAGACATCTTGCTGTCTGCACCTGCTCTAACGGTGAGTTCACTTATAGCATGGCCAGTAGAACTTGGACGTTCAGATGGTCTTTTGTGCAGTACCTAGGGGAAAATGGTATAGTGTTTCGCCCGTGTACTTTTGTAGATACACTTTACAAAAAAATAATTTCTCACCATTTCATAGGTCGTAACGGTGACGCCTTGGTGAACTGCTACGAATCTCGTTCAGTTGCCGCGTCAGCTCGTTACTACAGATACAAGAGAAACGGAGAAGGAGATGCTCCCGAAGCTACTGCCTCCGAAGCATCTACGACCGAAGCGACTGCTACCGAGAAAACAGCTACCGAAGCTTCAACGACCGCACCTGTTTCTGAACCATCAGCGCCCGTCGCTTCTGCAAATGCCTAGAGGAAATTTGAACTTGCCCTAAGAGTAGTTACTATGTTAACACGCTTCTAAACAAGAGTAGCAATATTTGTTACGCCCGTATATATGTATACACATAATAAGATACACATAAGATAATAAACGTCCAGTAATTCTAAGAAATAATTGAAAAATCTCTAAATAGTTAAAAAATGGATTTAAAAAATGTTCACAATTCGTCTGTGTCTTGTAAAAGGTGAGACACGACGGATTGAATTTGAACTATTCTTAAATATTTCTGACGATCGTTTTCAGTGTCTGTTTGTCTGTGTACATAAAACAATCCGACCTTTAATTAATAATTTACGAAATATCGACTAGCAATGCGTACATTTTTAGTGTTCTGTCATTAAAACTGCCTTCTGATTTATGTTTGTGTTAGAATGTTTGATAATTAACTTTAGTGGTTTCAAATGAATCTCATATGATGATGTAAATGACAGGTGCCATAACCATAATAAATAACAGAATTAATAATCAGTGCTTGTATTTTTATTTTCTGTTGCCTTTCCATTTTTTTGTAGACGGGTAGGGGAGACCGGAGCTGGAAATTTCCGGGGTAAGTTGTTCCTACAGCAATAACTTTGCAAGAAATAGATATTGCTATATGATGACATATAGCGCGTCGTTAGAGCGTCAGGTGACGCGTCTTGCAGGCAGCCATTTCAGATTAGAGGATGGAAAAAAAATAAAAGAACATGTTACATTCGGTCGATCTTCGCTTTTTCAAATGCCACATCCCGTAATGCTGAAGCGGCGAATTTTTATTAATACTTAATTGATCTCACTGTCAATATTTTTGTCCATTTTATTACAATACATGCGAATAATTCAATAAAATACTTGGAAAAACATTTGTTTTGACATTTCATGTACCTAGTTCCCTTTGGCAACCGTATCATGTTGACACAGACCAATGTAATGCTATCTTTTGGCTTAAGACTGCACGCAATAGTTAAATAAAGACAATAATATGTTTATGTATCAACGTCGAAATGCATCATATACATAAAAGTCTGATTTATATATATCAACATAACATGTCCTTTAGTTTCCATAGTCTAAGCATTTCAGTTAATCTGGCGACGATCGAAGTGTGACTATGTGCGTAGAGCTGTCAAAACAGTAATTTTTTTCTTGTTTAAACTTTTCGGCCTGTCTTGGTTTAGGATCGATTCATACGTAACCTTTCTAAATTGTAGTGACATTTGTAAGGTATTGAGTATTTGTGGTATTTATTGATTCTATTACTTTGCCAGTATGTCAGTCTTCGTATAAAAACGTAATTTGGAGCTATAAGTCCGTCTCTCGTGGGAGGATTATTCTTAGGAATAACTTCCCCAATTCACCTACAATCGTACCTAAAATTTTTATGACCATTTTCCTTTTTTTTAAGGATGCGAAACTACAAACAGGGTCATCGTAAAATATTTAGACAAAGATGATACCCTTATGTGTGTCTCAACTGTGACTCAGATGAATTAATGAGTAATGAATAATATTACAGTTAAATAAGAATGTAGTTGTTTTTTTAAGTTTAGTTGTGCATGACATAAACAATACATACATACAACCTTAGAATAATAACGCATAGAATGATAGTTTCATATCAAACGAACGGTCACAAGTGAGGCAAAAACCAAATTCATGTAGGCGTAAGCAACTTGTAACTACGCTCGTCGGCACGCACACAAATATACAAATAATGATGCCATGGAATAACATTTCCCTCAAAAGTGGGGAAATTGTATCTTGCTTAACTCATCATTAAGTTAAAGGTGCCTACAGATTTGCCCGACAATGTCGATCAGGTGCCTACAGATATGCTCGGTTTTGTCGATGAAAAACGAATATAGCACTTATTTGTAAATCTAAGATGGCGGACACGATTTTTCAAAATATGCTATATGGGTATCCTTTTCGAGGTATTTGGGGATGCTCATTACGAATATGGCACTCATTTCTAAATCCAAGATGGCGGACACGAGTTTTCAAATAAATGCAATATGGGTATCATTTTCGAGGTACTTGGGGGTGCTCATTACGAATGTGGCACTCATTTCTAAATCCAAGATGGCGGGCACGATTTTTTCAAAAAAATGCTATGTGGGTATCATTTTCGAGGTATTTGGGGATGCTCAATGTGAATATGGCGCTATTTGTAAATCCAAGATGGCGGGCACGATTTTTCAAATAATGGCAAGTTGGGTATCGTTTTCGAGGTATTTGGGGGTGCTCATTACGAATATTGCTTTTGTTTGAACTGTCGTGTTTGCCATCTTGGATTTAGAAATGAGTGCCATATTTGTATTGAACATTCCCAAACATCTCGAAAACGATACCCAACTTGCCATTATTCGAAAAATCGCTCCCGCATCTTGGATTTAGAAATAAGTGCCATATTCGAAACCTAAAACCGAAAATGCCATAAGCAAACATTAAAGAAAATAACTGTTAAAATAGATTAAAAAATCGCTTAAGAATGCTCCCCTTTTAAGAAAATAAAATATTTTAATATAAAATATTTCGCTTGAGTTACGAAAAGAAAGACATATAATAAGCTATCAAAGTTGTACTGGTGGTGCCAACACTATAGTAGAAACAAATATATAAGTACTGTAAATTTGTTGCAATATGTGCTCCAATTCAAATAAAATTAAAATAAATAATTATTCAATAAAGCATGAACGCAGAGCCGTTAAAAGTATTATAAAATAATTAAGTGTCCCAATCACTTACAGGAGTTAACGAAAACATTTAATGTTTATTAAAGTAAATATTAGTTCAAGATGCGCAAATAAATCTAAATTACAGGCACCACTAAAATTTACGTAACATAATTATTTTGATACAGAATAGCAAAATGGGGAGAAAAAAAATTCGTTACTTTGCAACACTTTCGTATCTTGTTGCCGCGAAATTATTTTTCTGTTTTAGTGAATATTTACATAAAAACATGAGTTGAAACGCATTACTTACTTGTGGAATGCGATGTTAGTGTCTATTTTATGTTTGTCTGTTGTATTTTTACACCCATTTACCGCACATTTCGTCATTTTTAGCAAAAAATTTTGGAGCTGTTCGCGGTGCAATATGACCTTGAGCACTAACAGCCCGCGCGCTCCTGGGACGCGTTTGGAACCCTCTAACTTGCCTCACTTAGCGTGTGCGGGCTAGGTTTCTATGCGTTATTATTCTAAGCATACAACTATAAAAAAGGTTGTTTTATTTAAGAAAGTCTTTGTTATTCTGTCATAATCTAAGCGGAACAATTTGCCTCAAAGGCGGAACATCGTGCCCCAAAGCGGGGCTGAATGTTCCGCTCGGAAATTTGTCAAATATTTGCCTCTGTAAAAAAAAACTATTAAGATATTAGTAGATGTGACTATAATATTACAAAAAGCGATAAACATTGTTCAATATTACCATATATTGAAAATCAAACCTTTTATTTTCAGTACCTACAATAGTTATTATTCTAAGCTACAATAATTTAAGTTATTTGAAAATCGGAATGATCAGCCCCGCTCTCCCATAACTAAATACGTAAAAATACATACAGTGGGTGAAGATTTCTCAATTTTTTGTTAATTTTTTTTGTATGGGAAAAGATGTTTGCGATTTCAGAGAACTCTAGTCCCTAACGTTAATATGGTAAAGTTACAAGAAACAAAATCAATTGATCTCAAAAATAATCCGATTTTTTTTCTAACTGTGCTTACCCAAATCTGATTATAAATGAAAAGAATTGGGAATAAATATAAAACTTTCAAATGATCTCATAAAAACGTTTTCCTATAGCTATAATTATTGTTTGAGTAGGTAACTGTCTTTGCGGTTTCGTCTGAAAAATTCCGTAATTTAAATTCCATTTATTTTAGAAGTGCCCATTGCCATAATCCAGGATGCTAGAAATGGAACAGAGTCGACAGTCAAAGTGCAATAGTGGCATTAGAGACGCAGAGGCATAGAACATTAATACTTTATGGCGTCTCTAGATGGTCGTGACAGACAGGATCTCTAGTTTCAATGGAATCAGCTAGAAGTTGAGTCTGTGTTTGTTTAAATTGTAGTGTCTCATAAAAACCCTTATCAGCAATCGGAGATTGTACCTGTCTGATCCTCACACCTTATTTTATATTAAATCAATTTTAATAAGAATCTTTTCACATTCATTCCACAAACTTCAAGTTTTTACAGCCATGACAAATATACGTATACCACGAATAACAAAACGTATTGTAATATTTGCTACTGTGACGAAACGAAACGTAATTTTGACATAAGCATTTCATTTTGATGGATTCATACGTCCTGTCGTTCGATTAGCGAATGATGAGTGAAATAACTGATTTTTTTACGGTAATTACAAGTTAAAACTGTACATATAAACTTATAATAATGTCTGACATCAATATAGAAAAGTTCGCTGTGCCTGACTTTAATTCCGAACGGTATGTGAAGGAGTTAGCAAAGTCGTGTGTCGGGGGGGAGGAACTCAGTCAGCAGAAGGAGAACATTCAAACTTTGGCCGAAAACACAGCGAGCAAACTCAAAAAGAATGTCTACGATAATTATATGCAGTTTATTGAGACAGCTACGGAGATATCCCACCTAGAAGCGGAGATGTACAAGCTTTCACATTTGCTAAGTGAACAACGTACGGTACTCACTACGCTGTCCCACGCATCGGTGCTAGGTAATGAAAACACTATATCGAGGGATTCCATCGACAACACCAACTTAGAGGCCGAAAGGGCAGAAGAGAAACGCAAAAGCAAACTCAATCTCATCTCGGAAAAAGTAGAAAATTGCATGAACCTATTAGACACTCCAGATCGGACTTTGCTTCACGAAGGTGACTTGTTAGAGATAGATGCTGAAGAAAACACTGCCTTACAGAGAATGCACGTTTATTTATTCAATGATTGCCTTATGTTGACATCATGGATAACCAATCGCAGGGGACCTATGAGATATAAATTTCTAGCCAGTTATCCAATTAGTACCTTAGCTGTAGTCAATGTACGCGACCTGGGGACTGTTAAACAAGCTTTCAAGGTGCTAGCCTTCCCAGACACAAGAGTATTTCAATGTAACAGTTTAGCTATTAAGAAAGACTGGTTGGAAAAGTTTGATGTAGCTAAAAAGATGCATATTGAAAAGGAGAATTCAAAATTAAATAAGAAAGAAAGCCAGGAAAGGCCTAAGCTCGAGTCAATAAAGTCCCTTAGTTTGTCCGTTGAAGAAATACCTTCCCCTCAAGTAACTCCTCTGCCTGAATGGCTAGCAGACGTCACTGAAGAATTAGATGTGCTTATTGTGGAGAGGCACTTTCAAAAGACTTATGAGCTTATGGTTAAAGCTCAAAGTGCATTAAACACTGAAGAATTTAAAACCCACCCACAACGAACTGATATACTGAAGAAGATAGAATTAAAACAAAAAGTGTTGATTGAAATTTTGTTAAAAGAGCTTGATGTTACTCATAATTGGAGCCCTAGAGGAGGTTTGCGAACATATAGGCCTCCTGTTTTAATACTCAACAAGTTTAATATGACTAGTCAAGCGTGTGAACTGTTTCTAGCCATATGTAGTCACACAGTCAAAGTACATGTCAAAGCGGTGCAGCTGGAGGGGTCCATTAATACTTATGTGAAGCAAGTTGGTGAAGTATTCTTTTGCTCATTGAGTGATACTTTAACAGAGTTCACTGCACTGTTCCCTAAGAATAAAATTAGTGCTTTTGTAGTGTGGGCCAGCATGCAACTAAGGGTGCTAATGAGCCAGCTTATTAAACAAGTATTCACACCGCAGTGTCCTTTAGACTCTATCTTAGAATGTGTTCAGAGTTTGAGAGAACAATGCACGCTGTTCTGTGAGTTTGGTCTCGATCTAAGGTTCCAAATGAACAGTTGTTTAAGGACACCAATAATAAAAGCACTGAGAGAATATAAGGAAAAGATTGTCGATTCTATGAAAACTAAATTAGCCGAAGATCAATGGACACCGGTTCCATTGCATACTAAAGCAGGAGTACAGAAATTTTTAGCACAGATGGAAAACTTGGGCCTTATCTTAGCTAAGTACGTAATTAACGAAACATGGATGAACTTGTCCAGTAGTACATTATGGTTTGCTCAGTCAATCCTAACAGTACAGAAGGTTGGTTTGGAACTGGTCACCAGAGATATGATGGATGTGTTAGACGAATGTATCTTTGCAATATTTAATTCACGCCTTATGCTCTCTCTAGGGAATGACTCTAGTTATGCGCAAAATAATTATAAGTTTATTCTTGACACTGTTATGCCTATGATGATCAGAAAATACAGGGAAGAGGTGGGTTATGACAATGAAAAATTAATTACACTGGCAAAGAAGTTTGGCATAAACATAGTCCCCCCTAAAAAGTCTAACATAACAAAATACACAAGTAATGAATATTTATGAGAATAGCCATTGGAGATATACATATGTTATAAGTTGGTGTATGAAATTATTTTTATTACGCTGGAGCTTTAATATTGTAAAATATAGATAGGTAGTAAGCATGCAGAATAATTTTGTAAGTTTATTTAATAATGGATCAAATTAAAATTTATATCAAGTTAACAATATGAAATTTTAATAAACAGAAAACAATGGTTTGTGGGGATTTTTCTTTTTTCCTATATGAAAAAAAAAAACAAGTTTTTAAACATGATACAATATCCAGGATTTAATTAATAACATTGCAAAAAATTATATTAAACACTTGTTACACTTTGGTTTCTTATATTACATTTACATATTATCACATAAAAGTGATATAAATTTAAAAAAATCTTATATTGTATAAAATAATCATAACACAAAAGGCCTCCATCGTAAATAATACAGCATCTTGAAATACCTTCAGTTGAAGTTACTTTTTCTTTTGGCATACACAATCAATGAAATTGATCTCATTTATTCAAAGAAATCTCAAGAAATTCATTCAAAATTTCGTAATTTGGCCATTGTCTAAATCAAACTTATCCCCCATTACAAATTCCATTGGGGATAGAAGCAATGACACATGTTATATACAATATAATTCATGTGCCAAATTCTATTTTTATACACAGTGACATCTTTTTATTCTAGGGCGTGATTCCACCCAACCCACTTTAACTCCGTTATATATATACACACACACACACACACACACACGCACACACACATATATATATATATATATATAGTTAACGAATATCAGCACATTGATGATGATGATGATGATGATACACTATAATAAGGCTTGCCATTTTGGTTTGCCACTCGTCGATTGATGCCCAGGTTCCACAGGAGTGTTCAGGAAAGCTCCTTTCTAGCTAAATATTCATAATTTTTTGTTAATGAAATGGACTTGCTCTTGACCTAGTGGTCTACCTAGCCCTTCTGGAGCAAAGATAGGATCTACGATGAAACGAGTTTGCCTTGAAAATGCCTGTTCAGTCGCACCTTAAAGATACTCAGGTTGTATGTGCTCAGAAACATAGTCGCAGGTAAGGAATTCCATTCTTGGGCTGTTCGCATAATAAAAAATGACGAAAAGCGCTTAGTACGCCTCAAGAGAATATCGACCAAGTAAGGGTGATATCCCGCCGTACATCTGTATGTCCGATGGTAAAGGGCGGGATGAGCTGATGGAGCTTTTGGGCACACTCACCTAAATATGTTCTGTAAATGTTTGTTTGGCCAGTTATGGTAGGTTTGGCTAAATTATTTGTATTGGTGAGTAGAATCGCCTAGAATATTGACATACAATGAACCCCAGTTGAAACAATTTTTACAGCTCATTCTAATCAATGTCCATCAGGGACTCGACAAAAGTATTCCCATTTATCAATTTCGTGGTCAAAATTACAAATTCCACATTAGAATCTTCCTGCTGACTTATAGACCTCAGTGCTGATATTTCATTATAAGTGCAACCTCCTAAAAAGAATACTAGAATGACTCTAGGAGTTTCTGCGGAGGACGAGTTGTCACTGGATATGGAATTACGTCGAGCCATACGAGGTTGTAGCGTTTGGAGTTCGTCCACTGTCGGCCCAGGGAGAAGGTTTAGAACGTCTTGGATTCCTAGAACAATGAATAATTGGAATAATTTATGTACTGCCATGTAACTTTGTAATGTTTTTTTAAATTCATTTATCCTATCAATGACATTTAAAAAAATAATATAAGGTTCTCACAAAAAAGGAATGTATCATACTCATGGTACAATAAAGTCACATGAGGTCATACGTCAGAAGTGCTTTCATCGCATAAAAGCCATAAAATTCAAAGCTATGAAATAAATAAAAAAATAATAATAATACGAACTACATGAAACAAATTATGTGTTTGAAATTTTACAAATCTCCTATTTAAGCATAAATACTTTAGTCACAAGTATTTTATGTAGAATCTTTAAACCCTTTTCCTAAGTTGTCATTTTGCAGATGTGGCCTTGTTACACCTTTTTACGACTTGCCATGTTATACCGTAACGTTTAAGTAATTTGCGTGAATTTTTGAGTATGTAAATATAGATAAGCAGTTAAGGACACTTGTTCGGCTCGGCGGCCTAACGGTTTGCACTGCAATCGTTGGATGAGGATCTTCTGGGCTCGATTTCCTGTAGGACACGTTTGAGAAATGAACTTTTCTAAATTGGTCCTGGTTGTGTATCTCGGAGTGAATTCCTTTGCAGGGTATTCTATAGTTTAAGATGAGGTTGGTGTGATTGTCTGGCACATATACAATAATAGAGATGGTATGGGGAAGGTACTTAAAGGTGTTACAAATAAAATAATAAATTAATGGTAACAAAATATTACTAAACGTAATCAACATAAGTAAAAATTAATCAAGTAGTAATAGCGACATCTATGCAGGTTTTTCTTTACTCAGCCAGATACCTACAGCTACCAGCGGCTGACAAGAGATGTCGCTTTATTAATAGTAATGACAGATTTAGTATTAAACCTACTTGTAATTGTAAGTTTTTTACAAAAACAAAGAACGATCTGCACCAAGCTCATAGAAAAATTCTCTAAGGTCTGCTGACCTCGATCAATAAGGCGATTAACACACTGCACCGCGCCCCGCGACGGAGCGCGTGACGTGGAATCACGCACGGGGTGGCGGAGACGCAGATCTGCGCCAACGCGCGGTTTAATCTGCGCGGGGGCAGCGGTCGAGCGGCCCCGCGTCACTTAAAGTACCGCTTCGAAGTAGATCGCCGTAGTAATTGTATATGTAGCCGAGATCCTTCTTTGACAAGAATGGTTAATAATACGCAACTCATTCAGGAGGCTGCAGTTATACTGTCTATTTGGTTTTTGTTTACTCAAATAAAAAGACACCGAAGATATTGGATACATTTCTTTTTACGAACCAGATCGATAAATGGATAATTTCAACTTCATTACAAGGATTTAAGAAAATATGAAGACAAATTTGGTCGGATTTTCAACAGCAAATATGAATTTATCGACGTCGAGACCTATTGTAGAAAACTGAACATGTCCTTAAGCTTAAAAATCTGCGCGGTAGTGCGGAGCGCAGTGTGCCATACCCTGCGGTTCGCCGCGCCGCAATCCCGCGCGGAGAAGCGTTGTCAGTGTGTTCGACGGCGCGTGTTTTCCATACAAACTGAGGTATTTCAGTACAACGTTAAAAACGCAGCTCCGTGCTCCGTCGCGGGGCGCGGTGCAGTGTGATAATCGCCTAAGGGAGTCACCACACTTACCGACTCAAATTCGCATTAAGTCGGTCAGAAAAATCTTTATGTCCATGTAATAAAATGAAGTTGTGCGCCTTGCGTCGGCTATCTGAGCGGAAGCGAAATGCGCGAAGACTTTTTCGCTCTTATTGCATGACCATAAAGGTTTGTTTGACCGCTTAATGCGAATCCGAGTCGATAAGTGTGGTCACTCCCTTACTCAGTTGGGGAAGCCATAGCCCCGGTATGGCGAAGTCGCTGGTTTGAGTCCAGCCGGATCGAAGGAATGTTTTTCGTTGTGTTCAATCTTTATATTGATAATTATAATAAATTAGTTAGTAGAATTTCACAAAAATAATTGAATATCGTGGTAATAAAACATCGTGATTTTCAATAAAATTACAATTACCTATAAATGTTTAGATAATTAATCAGCGTAGTTAAAGTCTAAAACAAAAGTATAGATAGGGGAGATACCCAGTATAGAGCCAATAAATAATCAATGTTGTGTTCTAGTTACTTTTTATGGTTTCATATTGTACGTTATGAATGTAAACAGAAAAAATTGGTATAATTAGACAATTGTTTGTTTAGGCCAAGTGTAAATTGCCTTAAATGAGCATACCTAATTTTCATTTCTGGGAACTTCACGAATTTGTAATGTTTGATAAACATTAGCTTATCTCTATAAAATTAAGGTGACGTCTTGTTTTCATTGAATAAGCGTATTTGAAGTCTTATTTATTAAAATAACTTATTCGTCATCGTGATAATCTATAACCCGTTATACGCCCCACTGCTGGCCATGGGTCTTCTCTCAGGTGAGGGTATAAGGAGATAGTCCGTCATGCTGGCCCAATGCGGGTTGGGGATTTCACACGTTTTCTGAGGTTTGTGAACCTTCTTCGAAGTGAAGGTTTCATTACGATGTTTTCCTTTACCGAAATGTTCAAGGTAAATTCACACTACTAGGCTATTTCGAATTTCTTCCTGCTCATTTGTCATTGATGGATATTAATTTTGAGTGTGCCTGTATGTTTAACGACAACGTTGCCAACATTATCGTTTACAATTTCGATAATTTTCAAAACTGATAAGGTATACGAGTTTATAATGGGCATAATAGTGTACAAATTCTGTCGATATGAATGATGATTCATTTGTATTACATCAGCATTGGCTGTGATGTATATCAACAGTCCAATACTATTGTCCTAAACCAATGCTGAAATTGATAAGACAGTCTAAACACAATGTATTAAGAGTGTCTTTTGCATTGCGAGCATTGATTTAAGACGGACTTAATTTTAGTCCAAATGGACATGAGTATAAAACCTTTATAAGCAAGTTATTTAGTCGAGGTTAGAAATTAATTAGGTGAGGTAGTTTGTACTTTTTTATTTGTTAGTTGTTCGTGACTTCGTCCGGTACAAATTAAAGAATGAATACAGCGAAAAAGGTTGAGTCTAATACATAAGAGATCTTTTTAAGAGTTTTTTTTTTTGGTGTAATAAAGAATATATTTATTTATATTTATAAACATAATAGTTATGAGGTTGTGCAAAAATATTTTAATCCAGAAATATGTCATTGTGTTTGTATTATACTTAGAGGATGGAAAAAATCTAGTCTAAGGAATTATATGAATTAAAAAAAAAATCATGACCATGGTACAGGTCCTTTAGTCGAAATATTAGAGATAATAAACATCGAAAGTAATGGCATAGTAGCGAGTTATAGTGTTCCTGAAATAATTAAAAATAACGTTGCATTACAGGGATTCTTTTCGAAAACCCGAGTAAAATGACGTTTGCAGGGTTGTCATTTTTCGTGACATTTTAAATAGTCATGTAGTATAGGCGCTTTGTCGTCGAGTTGCTGATATCAGCCCGTTGCACCAAGTACCAAGTAGTCATGTAGTGTTGCTGTCGACAGTTTTATCGCCATATTATGAAAGGAGACGATTAATAATTGCATTATCAAGTCCTTTCTTCTTGATAGTTGGCCCACTAGTATCGAAAATAATGCGTGAAATACAGAGGCACGATCTTATTTTTCCAAGATGATGTCTATTTTTACTATACACTTTTCGTTTCATGCCTTTTAATTTATATTCAATTATAACAAGTTTGGCCACTATTGTGTTTTTTTTATAATATCAAGTGAGGGGACGAACAAATCGTGCGCCTGATGGTACACGCCTGTCCATAATAATTGCAGTGCCACTCAGAGCTTTAAATCGCAAAGATCTCAGGGGCACTGCCACTGCGCCCGTCACCCTAAGACATAAGTTGACAAGTCCCTGTAATTTCACCAGCACCCTTACCCTTCGAAACCGGAACACAGTAATGCTAACATTACTGCTTGGCGGCAGAAATAGGTAAGGTGGCACGTGTACGCGTAGTGTGCAATCGAGAGTAGATAGAATATTTATCGACTGCAAACACAAGCTTGACAAGACTGCTTGTAAGCTAGCAACCCTTTTGCGCATTAAACTGACATTTTTCCCATCTTCAAGAAAAAAAAATTGTGGAGATCAATAACCAGCACAAAAACGTATACTATAAAAGACACTTACCAGACCATCCCTTGTTCTTAGCAATATGTTCACTTAATCGAACTGTTAACGGCGTGTATTTACTCGACAAATAGCTCTTCTCTCGCTCTAAATCTGATTCGTCCATTGTTAGGTGTAATGTCTACAAAAAAAGAGAAAAATGACTAGACTATAGTTTATTAGGGAAAAAAACGTAGTCTCTATAAAGTAGTCAATTAGAAAACAAACCTTTCGAAGCACATTATACTGCCTCGAGCCAGTCTGGGGTTTTAACAAGCCGCATTTCTCAAAATTGCATAACGTCAGCCAGGTTTTCAACCCGTACACTTGCACAAGCTCCTTCTTGTAGTACTCTAGCACTTTTGGCTTGAGACCTGATCCTGTCACGCATTGGAGGCAGATTAGGCGGAGAATCTGTTAACATTTGTAAAAATTAGGTAAAGTAGAGTAAATTTAATATTTAGGTAAAGTACTATTTTCTAAACGCCTAGATACGTAGCTATTTGAGTTTGCGGAAGTTATCAATTGTATTTTTTCAAAGAATTTATGTATAATAAAAAAATTAACAATATTATTGCTTTAAGAATTCATAATAAGAAATGAATCTATTTTTCCGGATTGCGTATATTTGTTTTTCAAATAAACCAATGTTTCGGGCCCTTTACAGGTCCCATGGTGACGGTTGACTCAACGGTCAACCCAAAAAAGATGGCAATCATCGGATTTCCGCATGCACACGAATGTTAATTTCTATGTCCGTTACTTATTACATTTAAAATTAATAATAACACAATTTTGAAAAACGTACTTTATTGTTGTTTTGTTTTGATTTCCATGTGAACTATATGGAGCTGTAAAACTATTTCCCTATTTTTAATTAAAAAACATTTACTCCATGTCAATAAGTAAGATAATACTGTATTGTAGTTTTTCTTGAAAGTATCGGCTTCTTGGGTAAAATATAAGTACATGATGTAAATTATCTATCGTGCCTGTGACTTTAGCGGCTTTTCTTACATTGTATAATAAATTAAAAAATGTAATAGCAACTCTATATAGATCCAAGTCGACTGAAAGCGTCAGTTCTGTACCAAACGCAAACGGCAACTGAATAAAATCCGATGACAGCCGAAACACGAACTTTGCCGAACGACATTGAGACAAGCACTGTACTAATTCAATGCCAAATATTTTGTTTGGACATGTACATCATAGCTCTAATTTAACTTGTGAACTTGGTAGTCTATTACAGGTGTTTTTGTTTTTTAATAACAAAATTATTTGAACATATTATAATATTGATTTCACATAACATTCCGGTGAATTTACGGGGGAAATGCAGCATACAGAAACAAGTAAAAACCTCAACGTACCTTAGTCAGAGGCACCTTTTGAGCGATGAGGTCTTCGATGAACGAGCATACTTTCTCGTTGTCCACGCAGTTGAGGAAGTCCTCCTCGCATTGGACAGTGTCGTGAAAATCGAACGTGTCTATGGTCTGAAAACAATATAACTACAGTACTGGGAACAAAGCGTATTAAAGCTAATTTTATTAAACACGCTGTATTTGTAGCAGTAGAGCTCCTTGTGAAAGAATTCGTTCAGGGAAGTACTGCCACCTTACCTACTTCTACCGCCAAGCAGTAATGTTTTGTTAGCATTACTGCATTCCGGTTTTGAAGCGTAAGGGTGCTGGTGAAATTACAGGCACATGGGACTTATCAACTTATGTCTCAGGGTGCCTCTCAGATCTTAAATCGCAATGATCTAAGGGGCACTGCCACTGCGCCCGTCTACCTGAGACATAAGTTGACAAGACCCATGTGCCTGTACTTTCACCAGTAATTTAATTTAATTTAAACTGCCTCTGTTGCCGAACGCTTACCACGCCGGAGTGCCAGGCAGAGGTCTCGGGTTCGATACCCGGGCCGGGAGAAATATTTGTATTGCCTACATTTATTTCTCTCGTGAGTTTGAGTGTAATTTGTGGTTGTCTATGTATGTGTCCATGGCACCCGCGACACAGAGTTTCCTTAGTGCGGGGCCTATGTTGAGTAGTGTGCGTTAAAAGCCGGAACGCAGAAATGCTCATATTACCTACTGCTTGGCGGTAGAAATAGGTAATGTGAGAGTACTTCCCTGGATGAACTCTTTCACAAGGAGCCATATTGCTACTAATATTTGACGACTTAAAGCGTGATGTGTCACAAAGTGCAGTACTAGGTCCCAAGTTATTCTTTGTATTCAAACAAACTCACCTCTTTAATGTACTCAGCAATGGCAGTATGAGTGGCCAATGACTGTTTATTTGCCAGCATTTGCGGTAGCCGAGAAACAAATTGCTTGATTTCTTGCACTGATTTCTCGTTGTGTCTCTCGTCCAGCTGGGTTTTTATTAGGTGCGCTTTCTTTGACAGTGCTGCACCGACCTGCGCAATTTTAATGACTAAGTAATATACTTACACTTACACCTTACTACTGCATAATATAACGTATAAGACGAAGGCAGAACAAAACTAATATACTGGCTGTTTTTTTTATTGGAAATCAAACTGTCTTTTCCGGCTATAAGTTACGAATATTTTTAAAGTATTAGTTTTTTCAAACAAACAGACATTTCCGGTTCTTAAAAGGTTGTATGGTCACGATTGAATGAGATAGTACAGGTATCAACAAGTTATGGGTAATTTTAACGCAAACCCTATTCTGAAGTATAGTTATAGAAGTTATTAATTTAAATACCTTATTTTCAATTTACAAAACATTTCATAAAAGCCGTGGCAGCCTAATGGAACCTATCACCTCTTAAGCAGAGGCCGTGGGTGGGTCCAAATTCGAGCTCGCTCTTCTGAGTTTTTCGGTGTAAGGAAAACTTTGTGATGAAACTTGCACGTCAAAGAAGGTTTGGATCAGTGTGGCGTACTATGGCCTAAACCCGTGCCCAGCAGTGGGACGTTAAACGGGTTGGCGATGTTGAAAAGTTATTAATTTAAATATATTATTTTTAATTTACCAAGAGAACATTCCAATTTACGCCATATACGACCTGAAAAAGTTTTTATTTTTTTCGTTCTTTCAGGGTCGTATTCTAGAACTCAACACTATTTCGCAATGGTCCTTAACAAAGAATGGCAGATCATTAATATAAATCAGAAATAAGAAAGGCCCAAGTATTGAGCCCTGTGGAATGCCCATTTTTACCGGAGAACCCAAAGAAGTCACGCCATTTATGTCTACTTTCTGAATTCTACCGTTGAGATATGACGAGACAAGTTTCGACGCCTTGCCATTTACACCGTAATGTTCCAGCTTCCTAATAAGAGTAATATGATCAATGCAATCAAATGCCTTTGAGAGGTCACAGAAAATACCAATAGCGTTCTGGGACCTTTCCCAGGCATCAAAGATGTGTTTTAGTAACGCTACCCCCGCATCGCTAGTCGATCTACCACTAGTAAACCCGTATTGTTCACTATGAAAAATATGATTCCTAACGAAATAGGACAGTAATTGAGTCAGCATAACCTTTTCGAATATTTTACTTAAAGCTGGTAAAATTGAAATGGGCCTATAGTTGCTAGGATCAACTTTCCTACCGCTCTTAAATCGTGTCGCCTGGCTGCGACAATTTGAAGCGATCCTAAGGAGAACGATCGAAGAAGTTACGCGATTTTCGCATTCTTGCAAAGTTCGCGTAACTTGTAAGCCAGTTTTTGAGTAATTAGAAAAAATATTTTTTGAGTTCTTATCTCAAAGTTGCTACGATTTCTCAGTAGAGAAATCTCCATCAGAAGCCCTAACTGCCGTGTAGTTTCAGATTACAAATATGTTATGGTATATGGTTAAATCAGACCCTATAAGAAAAACCCACACAGGAAATCACTGCGCGACGAGCAGCGAATCATTTTGCGCTCTAGAAACTCTGCACTATACTAAGAGATCGCTATTTGACTGCGTAAAATTTTTGAAAATCAGCGTAGATTTTAAGGGTCGTATTCCAGAACTCTACTCAATGCTCAAGTCAGGATCTGAGTATGATTTCAAGCACTGGAAATACGACCGTAAGAGCAGGGACTTGAATATGATATGAATACACTTTGAATCAAATTTGTGTGGATTCTGGAGCCATGTCGTCTTTCCATATATCTTTATCTAACACGTAGTCTTCTATTTTGTAATATGATTTTTCGATCAAAATATTTTTAATGTAGTTTTTAAACTTAGGAAATGATAAACTTAATATATGCTCCGGAATCTTATTGTAAAAACGTATACAGTTCCCCATAAAAGAGTTGTTTACCTTGGTTAAACGAAATCGTGTCACCATGAGTTTGGACTTAGCTCTAAGGTTAATATTATGGATATCTTCTTTCTTATTGAAATTATGTATATTTTTACGGGCATATAAAATATTTGAGTAAATGTACTGTGATGCCACAGTCATGATACCAGTCTCCTTAAACTTTTCTCTGAGAGAAACCCGAGAGCCTAGACGGTACACAGAACGAATCACTCGTTTTTGCAATATAAATATGGTTTGAATATCTGCCGCTTTACCCCACATGAGAATCCCGTAGGACATTATACTATGGAAGTAACTAAAGTAAACTAGTCTAGCAGTACTAACATCGGTAAGCTCATGGATTCTGCGGACTGCGTATGCAGCGGAGCTTAACCTGCTGGCCAGGGAAGATATATGTGGAAACCATTGAATTTTACTATCTAAGGCAGGTATGGGCAACCTTTAACATGTTGAGGGCCAAACTTTAGTATGCAAATAGGTTCGCGGGCCGCGTTTAAAAGTGCTTAGTGCATTTTAAAGTAATTAGTGTCAATAGATGTCAGACATAAAATAATATCACAATGTTATTCTAGTACTAGTACAATTTATTTAAAAAATGAAATTTAAAAAAATGGTACAACATCATATCGGTAAATGAAACGGAAAAAGTCAATCAATGAGACACTTGAGCTTGAATTTGGGAAACTAATCCATCGATATTTGGATTAATTCCACTGATACAAACACGTAAAGAATTTTCCAAATTATCGTCAGTCAGTCTTGTACGATGTGTTGATTTATTAATTTTCATCATCGAAAAGAACTGTTCGCATTTATAAGTACTGCCAAAAGCACAAATCAATCTTCTTGCGAATTTTCTAAGCTGCGGAAAATTGTCTTCTAGGCATTTTTTGTAGAAATCGCACAACTCTACTTCTTCAAATTTAGATTTTAGGAGTGAGTTTTCTTGAATTTCGATCAACTCCATTTGTAAGTGTATTGGAGCATTTTGTACATTAATTTTTGTTGGATTTGCAAATAAACTGAAACAGTCTTCCATGTTTTTGAAATCGCTAAATCTGTTCGAAAATTGTTCCGACAGTAACTCGAGTTCTTCAGCATATTGAGCATAAGCAATATTTTCATACGTAGAGATGCGTGTCGAAATGGTAACTATTACCAGATAGCATCTGTGACTCCCACAAGCGCAGTTTGACCTGAAATGCTTTCAAATGGCTGTACAAATCATTTACTAACTGTCCTTGTTTTTGTAGTTTCAAATTTAAATCATTCAAATAGCCTGATGAATAGCCTGTTAGATCGACCAGAAATGCTAAGTCACATATCCATTTTGGGTCACTCAATTCAGATAGTGGTTTATCTTTTATTTTCATAAAGTCTGCTATCTCATTTCTAAGCTCGTAAAACCGTTTCAACATTTTTCCTTTGCTCAGCCATCTGACTACACAATAATATGTTACGTCGTTATATTCAGCGGATATTTCATCCAAGAACCCCTTGAACTGACGATGGTTAAGCCCTCGAGATCGAATAAAATTGATGGTTTTTACTACCACATCCATAACATGCTGGAGTCGAATGGACTTAGAACACAAGTTCTGTTGGTGGATAATGCAATGAAGGACTATCAAATCATCTTTTTGCACATTTAATGCTGTTGCTTTTTCATTTAAAATTCCGATGAAACCTTTACGTAAGCCGACCATAGAAGGTGCTCCACCAGTGCATACTCCCTTTAATTTTGACCATGGCAAGCCAAATCTTGTGAATACCTTTTGAACTTCATTAAAATATCCTCCCCTGTAGTGGTTCCTTTTAACTGCTGTAAAGCAAGCAATTCCTCAGTAACAGTGAACTCCTTATCAACACCTCGAATAAATATAGCCAGTTGAGCTGTGTCGGACAAATCCGTGCTCTCGTCTAATGCTATGGAAAATGATTCAAAACCAGCCATACGGTCAGTCAATGTCGTTTTTATATCATTAGCCATCATTTCTATACGTCGAACAACGGTTCATCTTGACAAACTAATTTTTTCAAATTCATTTTTCTTTTCAGGACTCAAAACACTGCAAACTTCTAACATACACTCCTTAATAAATTCTCCTTCGGCAAATGGTTTTAATGCCTTTGCCAATTTTGAGCTAACTATAAAACTAGCTTCCACAACATTATCAAGTTCTGTTCTTTGTTTATGAAACATTTGTTGCTGTTTCTCCAAATTTGCTGTAAGCTTCTGGATTTTGTCTGTTCTTAATTGTTCTGTCAGTGAGTGTAGCGCAGTATGCTTAGTTAAGTAATGCCTCTTTATATTGAATTCTTTCATTACTGAAATGGATTCATTACACAGCAAACAAATAGGCTTACCATTGTGCAAAATAAAAAAGAATTATTCAGTCCATTTTTCTTGAAACTGGCGTCCCTCTGTATCTACTTTTCGTTTTTTTTCCACCAGACATCATTTTTGTTAACTTTTCGTTCTTTAAACTTAATAACAATACAAACTATAGTTAGTACACAACCACTCAAGATGCACACGAAGTTCACGGCTCAAACAGTTCGCTAGAATATCGCTTGTCGAAGTTATCACCTCGGTAGCTCGAATAGAACTGCACAAATGTTCGGGCCATACACCCGCTTATATAGGCAAAATGAAGGAATATTCTGGAATAAACTAGTTTTAGAATAATTGAGAAGCAATAAGTCTTTGATGTTTGCCGCCCGACGCCTCACGGGCGGCAAACATCAAAGACTTTGATCGAGTAAGCCGAGTGGCGGCGATTATCAAAGAGTGAGGCGGCAAACATCAAAGGATTAGATGTTTGGGGCTTCACTGTCGCTGTGAGTGTAAGTACCTAGTTTAATATTTTTTCATTGAGTTTTTTTTCAAAATGTCTTGCGGGCCGGATTATATCTTACAGCGGGCCGGATGCGGCCCGCGGGCCGCATGTTGCCCATATGCGATCTAAGGTTACTCCTAAGAAGACTGCTTTATTAACAAAGTCTAACTTTTCTCCGTTTATTTCTATGCTTGGACTAGTCGATTTTACGTTAGGTAATTCAAATTTAACACATTTTGTCTTCTTGGCATTAAGCAATAAATTGTTAGCATTAAACCAATAAACTACCTTAGAGAGGGTATCATTAATATGGTCATAGTTAATGTCATGTCTGTCTGTTTTAAAAATCAAGGATGTGTCATCAGCAAACAACACTATTTCGCAATGGTCCTTAACAAAGAATGGCAGATCATCAATATAAATCAGAAATAAGAAAGGCCCAAGTATTGAGCCCTGTGGAATGCCCATTTTTACCGCCATATTCATAGCATTTAAGTTTATTTGAAAAGAGCAATCCCTAGAGTTTCTTGCTCGTTCTTCTCAGGGAGGTCAGCGTAGTGAACGAGCAGTAGCTTAAATGTGACGATTTCAAGTGTAAATTTATTTTACCTATGGAATAAATAATCTTTGACTTTGACTTTGATTCTGCGATGCATTAAAACGAACAATGGAACATAAACTTTATGTTCTAAAAAATAAGTTTTCATATCCAGAACACCCCGAGCAGACAAACTTTAGAAAAGTTTACGTAAATTTATATCTATATTTGATTAAGCTGATTCTCCAAGGTCAAATGATTCTCCAAAATTTTTCGAGAAACTCGAGAATTCGGGCACGAGAATTCTCAAAACTCGAGAAAAATAGATCGCGAGGTGGCTACTGTGTGGGATTGTTTATTTATCGTCTAAAAATGTTTTTTACATCGAAATTTCAAATATATCACAAATACACCAAAGGAAATATACCAAATCAAGTAGTCCACAATTTGGGCGAAAATGGTCTAAAACCTGCCCATCTCAGCAGAACACATACTTACAGCAGTAAAATTGCAATCTCTCAGTTCAGCGAACAACTCCTCGCTAGAATTCAAAATGATGCGTCGCTTTTCTCTAGCAGTGGCTTCGGGTGTCGGGTCTTCTGGGCTTATAAACTTGTGCTCGGGAAAGGTTGCAGTCGAGTTCTTTATTCCAAAAAGTTCGTCTGAAAGACAAGATTATTAGTAGTAAACTTTTTTGTTCTTCATCTGCTCCGAATGGGGTCTAAAATAAAAAAAAAACAATTTTTCCGTGTTAATAATCTGACAGTGATAATTTGACTTTTAAAATTTAGTTTATTACCAATAAGTCCTTCATAGGTCAGCTGCGTAGCCATTACGCTGGTGAAGTCAACGGCTCTATCGAGTAGCAGTAAATGATCTATGCACGATGTTGGTGAGCCTTTAGGCTCTGTGCCTTGTTCCTCTTTGTTCAGTTTACAGAGAAGGTCCCATACCTGTGTAGTTTTATACATTTTAGCTAGGTACTAGCTTCGTTAAAAATTACGCGAGCGTAACTATGCTCGATTCTGACAGGAAAAAATATAACATTACAATGTATTTTAAGTAGTCTCATTTGTTCCTGGGCATACAATACAGGTTGTTACAAAAAGGTTCGCTGGCGTTTGTCCTTGTGATTGTTAAAGTAATTGATATTTTTTTCTAAAGCGGAGGCAATATAATATATCCGACGTAATACAACCAAGAAATATTACTTCAGTTGATCAGTAACAATCGGTTTTCAAAATTTTTAGTTTAATAAAAACATATCGAACCCCTGGATTTAATAAGACCATATCTGCAAAATGACAATTTTTTTAGGAGAGAGATTTAAATATTCTGCGATTGAAATTAGTCAATGACTTTTTATTATATTATAGTAGTTTTAAAATTTCACATAAACGATATTTGTTTCATATACTTGGTATTATTTTAATGAATTTTATGTGATAAAAATACTTTTTTTGAGGTATGATCATAACGTAGATTTATTATACCAACGGTATGATATATTTATAAAACATAACATAAGGGCGGATAAACATAGCCCACAAGTTAAAACCCTTTTTAACCAAAAAAGGAGGAGGATCTCATTCCTATTAAAATTTTAAGAAAATATGCCACGTCTAACAGTGGCAAATTAGAAGATGAATCCGGTTTGTTGGATTTCGCCCATTTTCTGTTAACTGATTTCAATAAAACTTGGTAAATACACGTAATTCCACAAAATTTTGAGGTCGGTTGTATTTTTTATAAAAAAGTTATAATTATGTTAGAATAATTTATTACGAATTTATTTTGATTCCTTACAAGAAATGTGCGTGGGATACCGATTATTTGTATTAAATACGTAAGGCCTATGAGAATCGATTGATGTTACCTGTTTGGCAGCGGTTCCTTTGCCAAAGACACGTGGTATGATCCCGTACAGTTGCTGTATAGTGCGAATCGCTTGGGCCGCATTGTAGATGCAGGTGGGGTCTCCTTCCAGATAGTTCTCTCTATTAAATAGAAATAATTTTTTAAGGGCATAAAAGAACATACTTTGATATAACAATTTCATGCAGACGTAGTATTAGTTTATTGAATATAATGGTGCTTTATTAATATGATTTTTTTTTTGTGAAATTAATGCACTAGTTTGCTATAATTACAAATACAAAAATCGAACATTAAGAAAAATTCCTTCGGACGGCTGGCTTCGAACCAGCGCCTTCAGCATACCGTGTCACGCTCTCCCAACTGATGTTAAATGATTTTCGAGAAATACGTTTGCTCGAATTTTCATAACCCCTAAAGTAATTTTGAGAGGAAAATGTTTTTACTTTTAAACCTAACTTAACCTAACCTAACCGAACGTAATCGTGTCCTTGCGATAGACACCCAACATATCCTGAAACAACAACGGTCTCGTTGTAATTCGGTTCTCGGGGTAATGAAAATTCGAACAAACGTTATTTCGGAAAAAATCTATTCGAGTTTGTGATAATGATAAGTTAAAAAGTCCCATGTGCCAGTAATACACATATTTGTTACAGATCTTTTTGCGGTTTTTTGCCCTAGCGCCATCTGTGAGAAATCTTTGATGGTTTTTCTTTTTTCAGTCAGGTACCTTTATACGGATCGAAGAAATGTTTCTTAGTGTTCGTTCTTTGTATTAATAAAAGTATAGAATACATCATATCAGCTGGAACACGTCCACTGCTGAACACAAGCATTAATATAACAAAATATAATTACAACAATAAAATTGCCATCTTAACAATATATATAATTATTGTTAAGATGAAGATAATAAAGATTCATTCATTCATTCATATATATATATGTAGCAGTGGAGCTCACATTCCTTCTTGGCGGCATTAATAAGTAAGGTAGCAGTACTTCCCTGGACTCTTTCACAAGGAGCTCTACATGGACACGAAAAAAAAATGTACCAGCCTATATATTTTTTAACTACACTGTACTTTCAACTGTATTTTCATTTTACGTATACCTATACTAAAAAAATAACGTAATTGACAAAATATATTAAAGTCATGTTAATATTTCTGTAATAAACTATTTGAGCGTTCTCTGTTCTTGCAACGACGTTTCATTGTACAATTCTTTAGTGGAGTATTTTCACAAAAATTATATGAATATCACGGTAGTAAAAACATTATGATATCCAATAAAATAAATATTGGAACTCATTATTGTTTATGTGACTGTAATGCAAGGCGTAACAACCACACTCTCCCGATAAACTTTAATGAAGTTCGGGAGATCCTTATCTCTATTTGTGCATGTTCAGTTAATATAAACAAAAAAACAAAAATCAAAAGGTTGCAATGATTGTAGAAGCAAAATGGCAATTACACTTCGTCTTTTTGTCCTTATCCCAAGCTAGGTGTGATCGGCAAAGCATGTATTTTTCTTCCACTCTCCCCTATCAGCCGTCTTTTCCACACTCACACCTTTCTTTTTTATGTCATCTTTCACACAATCTATCCATCTTTTCTTTGGCCTTCCTTTACCTTTATATCCCTCTACGTTCAAACTAATACAAAATGGCAATTACACTATGAAGTTTATTAAAGATGTGCAAGCTTACTTGTAAAAAACTAACAACCTAGCACTATATTATTAGTAATATAGTGCTAGGTTGTTAGTATTTTACAAGTTTGTTTGTTGTTTATGTTGTTAGCAACATAAACAACAAATTTTGTTCCATTACTTTTTACAAAACGTAATACATTTATAAGTTTTTGTTGTGTTATCTGATACTTTTTAGATCTGTACATATTTGGTAGTAAAGTAAACGAGCAAATATCTTCCCCAACGACCCCCACCTGTTAGCGCTTTCTTTTGTTATGATCTATTTAAAAAATTTTATTTTTGCATGAAATTAAAAATGTGGTGAATTGTTAAAACTTGTTGTTTGTGATGTTAGTAATGTCATGGACCAATAAGAAGACTGTTCGAATCGCGGTACAAGACAGCGTAGTCACTTATTTAGTACGTATTAGTACACCAGATGTCGCGATGAGTACCAAATAACCATTTGTATGTGATGAGTTTGTAAATGAAATAAAATCGGCTTTATTTTACATGTGCATGCAAAATACATTAGAAACAATTATAGAAAATTACATAAATCTTTCATAAATAACAACATAATTTAATTTATTAAATTCGTTGATGGAATGGACCGCGAAGTTAGTGGGAGTTAATCGCAAGTCGCGCGGTTAATAGAGAATTCACCCCGCGCTGCGCTGCGCCTGCACCCCATTGCGCCTGAACCGATCGCCAAAGTGCGGGCGACGACAGCCGCCAAGCGCGCAGATGATCGCGTCCTGCGCGGTTCTACTAGTACACCGCTGCGGCAACCGCGAGCAACCGTCACCACTACAGGCGTAAAACGCGCCGTGTAATATGCTACTAATTTTACATACTTAACTATTACATCCTACGGATGACGAAGTCCCGCGGCAGACGCGGGTGAAAACCGCTCCGTGAGTTCTTAGTGTAACGAAAAATGAGTTTCAGCGCTATCTAACATGTAATAGTTAGCTATTATATACTAGTAGCATTTTTACTAAAACGCCACATCATGTTGAATGGCTGAACCAGGATGAAAAAAATGCTGAAATATTGTAATATAACTCTTACTCAAGTAACTGTAAGTTTAATTTTGTTAAATTTTAAAATTGTGTTCCGTCGTTTTCACGTTTTAAGCCCTACCCAATCAAAATCTTTAAGTTGTGGTAGTAGCGTAAAGTTTGAATTGCACACAAGCTAAAAAGTGGCGACATCGGTACCCGATCTTATATGGCGTCATTACACATCTCCCCTTTTTTTCTATACCTATGCAAATAACTAATATGTAAATAATTATTCATACAAAGATCGAATACTCAGAAAAAAATCCTTCGATCCGGTCGGAATCGAACCGACGTCTTCTAGTATACCGTGGCAGACATAATACCAACTAAGCCACGGAACGAACCAGCGGACCTCACGAATTTTTCTATGTGTTTGTTGTCGTGTCTTTGTTTTTGGTTTTTCAACGACTTTTTTAGCCGTAGCGCCATCTATGAGAAATCTTAATTATTTCGTCTTATTAATAATTATAACAAACTAGTGGAGTAAATTGACATAAAAAATAATTGAATATCAATTCAATAAATACGTAAATAATTGACGAATACCAGCCGACGAATTGACGAATTACAATAATTTATCAAAGCCACTCTCATTTGTAGTGACAACAAGCAAATCAACTAGATGGCGCTTATTGCACAGATTTTTATGGATACTGACGGCTATTCTTTTATTTCGTTTAGGATTAACGCCATCTACTCACACTAGCAAGCGTTAATTTATAAATTAGTTTGTAACAAGCAATGCCATTTATTGACACCCATACTTGTTAAAGTTCAAAAAATAATTTTAGCTCATGGTCAATATTTGAATAATATAACAAGGAAAAAACTGATATAGTTATCAGTGGCTCGGCGTCCATATATCACGATTCCCATCAGCTTATCTAAAATTTTCCACATATTATAAATATTTTAAAGTAATTTAATTTACTATATTTTGTGCTCAATTTTAGGTGTAGAATCACTTAACCAGTGAAATGAAGTGTACTAGCATCTTGTACGCTAATAAGTATTGCGTTTAAGAGTCGTCAAGGCGCCACTTTTTGTTAATGTACGTCAACAGCACATCAAGGTACATATTGACGTATCTTATTCAATTGCACTGGAGGCGATTTTCGAATAAAAATGTGTAGTCTGATGTGCTGTTGTCTGTACATGGTTCTTGTTTTGCCCCGGCTTTACCAACGACAATTGCACACAACCTATTTTATATTAAAGATTAATTAATTGATATCTACGGCCAGTTTCATAATATAAACTACTTTCAGGCAGTTCGATCATATGTAGATATAAGACGGAATTTTGATTTTGGATTTTCAGAGTTCTGATATTTAGTATGAAGATTAGCAGTCCTCTTTAGTTTACTATATTAATTATTATTATTATTAATTAAAAAAAATAACTAGCATGTAATCACGTAATATTACTAAATGAACATTACACTAACAGAAAATACACTCAATAACTAACAGCAGATTGCTATGAAGAGTTAATAGGTCCATGATAATATCGATATCTCCAACAAGCACTACACACGCTAACTTTATTTTTGGGTTATTTTCTGTTATCTTTGTAAACAGCCATATTTATTTATTAATATTATATTCCGCGAATTTTGTCAAAAAAACATAATGAAACAAAAAACAAAAAATTAAAAACGAATTTTGTGAAAAATAATAATGAAAGAACTAAATTAAAACAAAGGGGTCCAAAAATTAAACTGGTGTAGTGTTCATAGGAGATATCAATATAATCCTGCATGGATGTTAGTATATACAGATAACTTTTACAGATATAATGACGTTTCACTCCATCCTGATGTGTTTCCTTCACTTCTATAATTTGGCTTAAGCGTCAGGGTATAGCTTACCTAAAATCATTCTGAAGCTCTAACGACATGACGTCACTGTCAAATGGGAAGATGTCACATTTAAACTCCTGTATAGTTAAGTTATTAATAATGCCTCTGTTGGTTAAGTGTTTCTCACACAGTTCACTCTTGCGGGGCACGAAGAATAGATGGAATTCTACTGGCAAGTTTTGTTTGGCTCTGTGAATAAAATATTACATGAGTGTTCAACCCGGTTTCTATTGAATAATGTTTGTTACAAAGTAAATACATATCAAAATGTTGTTTTAGATACGATTTATTAATTTTGCTGACAATTCTTGACAAAATTGGTCTTCCTTATGAAAAAAAAAACAAAAACAATAATCTCAGTGCAAACTGCCTCCGTGGCCGAACGGTTACCATACCGGACTGCCACGCAGAGGTCCCCGGGTTCGATTCCCGGGCCGGGAGAAATATTTGTATGGCCTACATTTATTTCTCTCGTGAGTTTGGGTGTAATTTGTGGTTGTCTATGTGTGTGTCCATGGCACCCGCGACACAGGGTTTCCCTAGTGCGGGGCTATGTTGAGTGTGTGCGTTATTATTATTATTATTATTATTATTAAAAACATTAAATTTATTAAAAAAAAGTGACATCAAAAATTTGTGGAATTACCTCTATATTATGCCAAGATTTATTCCCTAGTTTGCCACCCTTAGAGATGGAATATTTTTTTCAAATTTAAATGGGAGCACTACTGAGGTACCCTCTTCCCAACAAAAAAGAATCAACAAAATCGGTTCACGAAGGTCGGAGTTATCGCATAACATACATACAAAAAAAACACCTTCAAATTGAGAACCTCCTCCTTGTTTTAAGTCGGTTTCGATAAAATATAATAGTTAATGGTAATAAATTGAGTTTGAGGGTACGGTGTGTTATTATTAATAGTGTAAACATGTCACCTCAATGATATAATATAATCTGCAACTAAATCCATCAACACCAACTTGGGTCGGGCAATGAATACAATATGTTTGACGGATATAGTAGGTAGACTGCCCGGTCGTAAAGGAAACATATCTGTCACTTCATGCTCCTTTAGCAATGCATATTGAGCTACTAAGCCTACAGGACCAGCAAGCCATTCATCCCAAATTGTTACCTGAAAAAGTTAATTTACATATATTTATGGAACTAAAAAAACCGCTTCCAAACACAATTGGAGTTCTACAGTGAAAGTATATACTATTCTTGACTTAATTTTGGTGGTTATTACCACCTTAAGTTTATTAGGTTCATCAGACAATAAAATTGGGCAGGTAATAAAATATGGTTGAGTGCATAGTTTCAACTGTAACAATTACAACATGTCGGATAAACACACAAATTATTTGGTTTCAAAAAAATTAGGATTAGTCCCTGTACCATGAGCAAATAAATGAAGTAAGGCAGTCCTACTCCAGTCCTACTCAGATATGAAGAGCAGAATCAATTTAGAAAAGTTGGTATCCTATTTTGATCCTAAATGTAATTAGTAATTAAAATATATTTTCAAAATAGAAACATATATTTTTAACTAATTACAACCGAAGAGCCTCTACAGGAACGCCTCGCAATGTTAACAGCTGGGCAACAGAGATTGTGAGTAGGTATTATTATTGTACATAGTAGAAAGGAGGGCTATTGAAAAGTGACTTAGATCTATTGCAGTTGACACCCTTTACTTATAGTGTGAAATTAACTTGAGTAATAATAGAATTAGGATTCTAAAAATAATTAGTAATGATATAGGTACACTCCCAGACACATAATTAGAGCCACCTCGCATTTTCAGTATAAAGCTTTAGGCTTAAACAAAAAGTATTAAGCCATTTTGAAGCTAGTATACTAAATGTCTTTTCCATAAGCCTTTGTTGGAAGTTTGAATTTGTGAAACCAGGGGAAAACTTTTTCTTCAACAATAACACTACTTTTGTATTCTAGCCCTTTAAGACAAAAACGCCAAGTGGTTCCTTGTTTTTCAAATAAAGTCTGCAAGTATGCTTTTTATATAATCATTAATATTTTTTTAAAACAAACCAACATTTCGGACCCTTCACAGGTTCCATAGTCACGCCTGATTCTACTATTATTGAACACATCTATATAATTTTAATTGTTAATTTGTAGATGAACAAATATTGTACACCTTGACTGGTAGGCTATGGAGATCTGCTTAATGTATTATTTTTAAGACCGAATGTACCATACCCATAGTTATGCAATAAATATATTCTTATTCTTATTCTTACATTAAATTACCTTTAACTCAAAAGTCATATTTTTACTTTTCAAACAAAACATTTTTACAATATAAACATGCCTTCATGTCTATATTGGTAGGATAAAGGGATGATGAATAAAGCGACAGCCGGTTTAATAATCTGGTCGCTACCATTAATATAATAAATATCCACGAGTAATATAATATAATATATTTTTAATAATGTGCAAAGGCTTATCAATTGTTTTAGTAAATACGTTTTTAAGACACGCCTTAAGCGACGTAACAGCAGTAAAAGCAAGTTTTATAGTACCCCGTACATCCTGGCTGTTTATAAGATATTATTAGGTAAAACAGTGAAAAGAAAAACTTACTTTTGGTCCTTCGCAAAGTTGCAAAAGATTCAATAGGTCTTTTCTCATAGTTTCCTGCACTAAAGCCACATTCAGACGTCCACCAGACAGATGTGTACTCATTTTAGATTCCTTCATTTTTATTTTTGATTAATATCACCGAAAATATTGAAAAATATAATAATTTTCCTCAATATTTACTCACAATTCAATGAATTCCAGACAATTTGACAAATGTTTGACAATAGAGAAATGTCAAATGTAATGGTGATGCGATTTCGTATTTTGGATTTAACGACAACCATTCGATGACTCGTCGAAAGATTGCACTTTTGTTATATATTTTTTTGGATTTTTTCTGAACTTAGCTTCGCAACTCGTAATATAGAGGTGGTTGTTTTGAGAGCTAAGCATAATTTTGTAATTTGTTTTAAATATTTTTTGCAACAAAGTTATTTATTTATTCTAGTAAATTATATGACAAATACTGCGTGTAACTACTATGCTATTATGGTCAGAATTTGAAATTCAAACCACGAACATAATTATTATCGTTGCATAATTCGTTGTATTTGCACCTCACTTGGGCTGTCATTTTAGTTTAAAAAATGTCGCAGGCAACAAAAACCATTATTCAGATTTTTTTCTTTAATATTCAGGATGATATTTTTCTGTTGTATGCTTTTGTTACGTATGTAAGATCATTGTTCTATTTAATTTAGATTAATACTGCTACAATACGTATCTTCCTGTGCGGATGTGTAGGTACTACTAATACGTGTACCTACTTACGAGAAAACATTTCGGCGCAAATTATCAAAATAAACTTATCATCTTTTGAAATGGAATAATATCCTTTGGTATGGCTGGCAGGTAGTTTAAAGATGCGATCTTCAAATAAAATATACGGGAACGTATTGTTAACTATCTACTGGGATTTCGATTTTTCCTGAATTCTTTGTTATCGGGATTGAATAGAAAGGCATACGTTAGGCATACAAACACCAGAAGTTGCTGATCATCTCGATATGATAAATAAGTACATATTTTGGAAATGTTTGGGATAGGTTAATTTTAAATATTTTGTTTCTTTTCTTTAATGAAGATTTTAAAAAAAGTAGACTAGTAGCTGACTACTAAATAAACGTGTTTAATATATCTTAGCAGTTTCAGTAATGAAAAGCCGAGTTTAATTAAGCGTAATTTCCTGTCCCACAGCTATACTAGCCATTAATTTTAATTTGATCTTAAAGTTTATCGCACTTCTTGAGTGCTTACAAATGGATATTACGTATTTCAGGGCGTCGATAAAATCAGCTGTGCAGCCGCCCAATACGCTGAAGCTCTGCTTTCATATCTACCCCTAATTGTATAGCAACACCCTGGGTAGCTACGTTGCCTTATCTCTTTTACGTAGAGTGTAGAGCCGAGTCGACTGCGCGCGGCGCGACATCGATTTTCCCACTAACCAAGCCATTCCGAACCGTCCCTGGCATTACAAACACGTTTTAGACAAAACTCGCCCGACTCCAATGTGTTTATCGAGTTAAAAAACTTATGAAAAGTGTATTGAGTATGAGAAAATAATGTACGAACTTTTCCGGATTTTAGACAGCGATGTCCGCGCTAATTAGGGGTAAGTTTTTCACAAATTTTCCAGTAATTTTCCGCTATTTTCACGTTGTTTTTGTCGTTTAAAGAAAATGTATTAATGTTTATGTAAATGGATTGATAAAATGTTTAAGGACAGTTTATGTGGGGCGTTGTTGTAATTGCTAGGTCGTTATCGCGATAAGTATTGTTGTGGGCGATTCCGGCCCATGTGATGCTTACAATGTTTTTATGCCGTTCAAAGATAAAAATGTTGATCTTATTAAACTTTAATCTTCGATATAATTCATGATACTGTTTTACCTTTTGATGTTTTTACCATTATTGAATTGTTTTTACGTGAAGCACATTTGCGTGTTTGGTTTCTGCAGAGTTGAGTTAGTTTGGTTTGCTATTCAAGGGCAAAAGTGTTTTAAAAAATGTGGTTCAGTCTCCGACAAATGAAACTTGCGATTGTTTAAGGCGCCAGACAACAAGGCATTTTCTAAGCTAGCATATTTAGTTCTAAACCAAATGTTCATATTCCATCGGGTGATGTTCTGTTTTAATGCTTGCTGTATTAGTATCATAAAAAACATAAATATCAATATAAATGTGTGGCGATTGCGGTCAACTAATACATGTTTCTAGTTCTTAATGTTGGACTTACTGATACATGTAAAAGTTATGTGTGTTATATGCGTACATGATGATGTGAAAACAATATAATGTCAGGAGGTTGTTCTTAGCAACTGTTATTAGAACAGCAGAATATTTTAATGTGTAATCTATAATAACCACATAATAATATAACAATAATAACGCACACAGTCATAGCCCTGCATCAGGGAAATCCTGTATTGCGGGTGCCATGGACACAGACAACCACAAATTACACCCAAACTCACGAGAGAAATAAATGTAGGCCATATAAATATTTTTCCCTACCCGGGATTCGAACCCGAGACCTCTGCGTATCTGCCGTATCTGCCAGCATGGTAACCGTGAGGCAGTTAACTACCACATCTACCACATGACTGCAATAATTCCTTAAATACTAATTAAACTCTATAGTGAAGCTGTATCAAATGTTGCTGTATCTTTTATTATTCTATTTATCCACTGTTGCGTATTGGAAAATGTCAATAACGCTGATTTTTGCTTAACAATAAAAATGATACTAAACAAGATGTAAATTAACCGCTTATAGGGGGTTATAGATCTCGTCTGTTTAATTAGAGAAAATTTACTACGTTGTTGGTCCACTTTAAGTTTTTAATGAAATTCTTCGACATGCGGTTTCCTTTACAATTTCCTGCACCGTATCAACTCATGTTTCATGGCTGGAAACTAAGTTCCTTCTAAGAAGTAAATAGTTTCTGTTTACCACACTGGCTCAATAAGCTCGTTATGGTGGGTTGAGAACTTCAGACGTCTTTTAAGAGTTTTAGTTCGCTGTTCTTTCAAAATAACGCTCTTGTTAGCAAGATATCGTATCGAAGTTTTAACATAAAATACTTTATTTAGAGATATTTCAAGAGCTCATTACAAATTGCAAAGAAGTCTGGCACTTATATTTTACGAAAAATATCAAAAAGAAAAGAAATAAGAATTATTATTTAAATTGAGGTTTAATAAAATTGTTTTGCGAAATTTTATAATCTGACACACGGCGTCATTTTAAAAAAGCAAAATTAGTGAACAATGCCTGTTTGTACTGGTAGTGTACATTTCATCATGGTGGTCCCTCGCATCGAATGAAAAGTGACACAGGAAACTAACAATACAAATTTGAAAATTTAAAAAAAAATTTAATATTGAATATAATGAGCATGAAGTTGTTACTCAATGATATTATTTTTTGTGAAACTACTACACTAGTTTGTTATTATTATTGATACAAAGATCTAAACATCGAACCGCCTATCGAACCAGCAGCGTCTGTCGCCTCAACGTGGCTACCTGAAGTACGGCTATTTTACTTATGAGAGAGAAGTTGTCTATTCACTTTATGACGACGTTGACTTCCATCATTGTTATATCACCTTTTAATCATCTTCTTATCTGGTTTATGGCCACGTATTTTCGAAGTTTTGAACCGTTCTCGAATTCCCTTTTCCTTCACTATTCTTAGGTTTGTTCGTGGTTTGTTCGATCCGTCGTCACTATCATCAAAATTCTTGAAACGAGAGGTCCTGTCCATGAATCACAAATCACCTTCATTTCCTTATCGTTAAACTTTACATCCATTTCTATTCAAATTATATAGTTATACCTATAGACCATTTTGGATCTTCCTTTTCCTCTTTTATCTCATTCATCTCTCACAACGTCGAACCGAGCCTTCTGCATTCTCATGTCTCTAAGGTTAGGCTACAACTTAGATCGTTCTTCTTCCTTTTTTCAACCACTATTCACCCAAAGATGAGGTCTCTATTCTTTTCAATGTTGTTATGTGGCTTTCTCGTCCAATTTTTCCCTGCCATTTTGACAATGTCGTCAGTCCTGCGCATCGATTGACAGCCTACCCTTTGTGCCTTTCTAGGCCTTCACTCAAGCACCCTTCTACCCGACGGTACTTACTTAGTATAAGAATTTCCTTATTTTGTACAAATATATCTATTCAAATCACTTATCAAAACATCGCTAATGGTTGTAATAAAGCTATATACGCAAAATGACAATTTTTCAGGAGAGATGTTAAAGTTTGTAAATTATACATAATTTGTTTCATGTAGTTTGTATTGTTTTTATGTGCTCAAACACCGCGCGGCGACAGCGCAGACCACGCCTTGCCAGACTCGCTCGTCCGGGACTAATAGAACGTATTTTGCCATGACAGTTAGATGCACGCGGTCGCTGCGTGGCAGCAACGCGGAGTCCGCTGTTCGACCGCGCGGTGTGAGCCCAATGAATTTCGTGTCAAATAAATAAAAAATTCGTCGCTGCGCGGCGGCAGCCCGTTGATGGTGAATGCGCCATTAGTGTTTTTTTTATAATATCAAGTGACGGAACGAACAAGTTGTATGCCTGACGGTAAGCTACACGCCTGTCCATAACAGTTGCAGTGCCACCCAGAGCTTTAAATCGCAAAGATTTGAGGGGCTCTGCCACTGCGTTCGTCACCCTGAGACATAAAGTTGACAAGTCCCATGTACCTGTAATTTCACCACCCTTCAAAACCAGTACACGGTAATGCCGACATTACTGCTTGGCGGCAGAAATAGGTAAGGTGGCAGTACTGCCCTGGACGAACTCTTTCACAAGGAGCTCTACTGTTACTAATATAGTCGTCATTGATTTTGTATTAATTTTATTAACAATCGTCGATTGTTTTATTATCTTTCACGTTTCGTACCCTTGGCATAATAAGGCCCTGTCTGCATATTGCCAAATGTTCAGGAAAGAGGTTTAAAGATTCTACGAATGAACTTATTTGATAACTTTTTGTACATTAATAGGAGAGTTATAAAATGTCACATATACATAACTTGTTGCAAGTACTTCGTATTATTTTTATGACTTTCACATGATATAAGCACGTTTGA